ATCTAATGCTATTAGATGTCAAACTCATTTCAGTCAGATACATGCTTCATTAATTTCTGAGAGAATACGCTTGGCAGCTAAGGAAAGTCTTTAAATCTACAAAAATAGAGAACAAACAGTCTTATTAGGTATAAGAAATTCACCTGCTGTGTTCCTCATGCTACAAGGAAGCATCTTCCATTGCTATTACAGTAAAATCGCACCAACACTCTTGCCTTTCAAAGCCTTAGGTTTTGTCAGCTCCTTCTCTAACCAAAGTTCAGGTTTTAAGTGAAATTAATATTGTACCACTACAGGACCAGCACTACAGTTTGTACTAGTCTACCACTGAAGTTATAACTTGAAATTTTAGCACTTAAGGGTAAGAAGCGGGGTCTAATTTTAAGCTGGAATCCAAAGTGAGCTGATGTGAGATGAGGCCTCCAAAACATTAAGCACTTTGTGCACATGCATGCAGTTGTGCCAGCATCACCTCCCAGGGCTCACTGAAATTAAGTAGGCCTGCACATTTCAGTATTTATTGGTAGAGCTCAGGGATTAGAGGAGATGCAAATGGCTCAAGACCAGTACTTCCCATAGAGCCACCACGAGATGCCACTTTGACTTTGGAAATGACAACAGACCTACACAAACACAGAGATAAACTGAACAGCACTACCTGGAGTCCCAAGCAACGCTGTGTCAGATAAATGCTTATTTTTGCAACTGATTTCCATGTGGTGCTTTAGAGCCATACACCAGCATTCAAATATTGAACATAGAATAAAGCCTGAGTAAAGGCTTCAGCAACTTCTGTTTCTCTTTCATATTGGCTATTGTGCTGCTTATCTGACAAGGGTTACTGGAGCATGTTCCGAGTTGTAGAACGGGATCCAGAACTCTACTGTCAATATTAAAGAGCTCCAGCTTGTGGTGCCAAGTCAGGAAAATTAAAATAGCAACCACTCTGTCAGCCAGGAGCAGGCCAGTAAGCATGGCACATCAGCAGGAGTAGGTCAGGGCATCCCATAGCCACTGGCCTACTTACAAGCTCAGACAAGATCCGTGCCCCGCTGGATGGTATCAAGGCAATCTGTACCATTGTGGCATTTGTCAGAAAGACTTCAATCTGACCACGGACCTAGCAACCGTGCAAGTCCTGACTTCAACTATTTTCCCCATTTTACTGTTATCACGGGCTTCACTCCCCCTGTGCCTCTAGCCATGGCCAGCCCCCCACAAAATGCTCTCTTTATAGACTATACTAAGTGGTAGTAGCTATGCTTGGTAGGAGACAATGTTCATTTGCAATTGAGGTCAGTCACTGAATCTCACTTTTGACTTATTTTATGACAGTGACTATTTCTGGTCACAATATCATCTCTTCCCCACACTGAGAGGCATATTGTCTCCTGGACACAGCTGTAACCTCCCACTGAGTTCAGCTGTTCCACTTCACCTCTTTCCCCAGCCCGCTCAAACCACAACAGAGGCAGAGATCAATCCGTAGCTACACTGAGATAACAGGAAAAAAAGCAAAACCAAAAAACACACACACACACACACCAGTCAAAACACAAAAATGCATTGACTTTGATTCCTAGTAAGCCTACCTGCATCACAGGGTTCCTTGACTTTCAAGAGCTACTGCAATACAAGTGAAAACCTTAAATCCAAACCAACTCTGCCCTGAGTTCCAGAAACATAGTGACATCAGTTGCTCACTTGCTAAGCCCACATGCTGAAGTCAGCAACTTGTGGGGCCAATACAGGGAGTTATTTCAGTACTTTTAGATTATACGGCTTCCCTCATGCCCCCACAGGCTCTCCTTTCCCCCTCTTCTCACCCAAAGGGATGATCCTCTGCCCGTTTTGGGGACGGGGGAGAAGGAGAGAGAGGGATTTAACAGCCATCTACTCCCGCACCCAGCATTAGTGAAACGGCACCAGGAAAAGCGCCCTCGCGCTCCTCCTCTCCCAGGAACGAGCTTGCGCCCCCGCGACCCCCCGGGACGCTGGAGATGCGCTCCCTGCTGCGCCCACCCAGCAGGTGGGTGCGAGAGGGGCCGCGGGAGGCGCCGGTGCAGGACGCCGAGGCACCGGCTCTCCCTGCTCCGCCGGGAACGGGAGGCCGGGCCGACCCGGCGCCCCCGCCCCCCCCCGCGG